CATTTTCCCATTTACGGCACAGGACTCCATCCTGAATCAGCAAGCTGTCCCATTGAGCCCAATAGCTTTTCGTGGTCGAACTCATTGCTGAGACGTCGCTCCACTTGGGCTTAGGAGCACTGGCCTTCATCCATTCCAGAATCGGCTTAATCTTCCGAATCTTCCTGCTGTGCATGTTGTAGGCTGTCCTTCCACTCATTGCTGAACTGGTCTGTCCTGAGCATTCTCACAGATACCACTTCCTTACCCTCTTGCCTAGTACAATGCCTGCAATCTTCAGGGCTAGGTCTTCTTGATAATGCATCTGCATTGCCATGAGATTTCCCGCTGCAATGTTCGATCACAAAGTCGTATTCCTGTAGTAGTTCAATCCATCTCGCAACTTGTCCTTGCGGATTTTTAAACTGCAATAGACATTTCAGTGCAGCATGGTCAGTTCGTAAGTAGAATTTCCGCCCCAGGAGATATTTGCTAAAATGCTGCAAGGACTTTACCACAGCAAGCAATTCCCGTCTTGTGACACAATACTTCCTTTCCGGCTTTGACAACGACTTGCTGAAGTACGCTATCACAATCACTTGATCACCATTCCGTTGAGACAACACACCGCCAAGTCCTATATCATTTGCGTCTGTGTCAACTATGAATTCCTTGCCCGCATCAGGGTACCCCAAAATAGGCGTTTTGCACAGACGGTTCTTGAGCTCCTGGAATGCAATATCGCAACTTTCATCCCAGCAGAAATGTCGCTTCTCCTCGGTTAGCTTGTGCAGAGGTTTGGCTATATCTGCAAAGTTCTTCACAAATCGCCGATAATAAGAGCACAAACCCAAAAATGCTCTAACCTGCGTCTTGTCTTTTGGAACCAGCCACTCCTTGACAGCGGCAATTTTCTCTGGATCCGTGCGGATACCTTCTTCCGACACTACATACCCCAAAAAACTAACTTGCCGTTTGAATAGTGAGCACTTCTTCGGACTCAACTTGAGGTTGGCACTCTGGATCTTTGTGAGCACACGTTCCAGGTTTTGAAAGTGTGCCTCAATCGTACGGCCTACGATGATGATGTCATCCAAATAGACCAGACAGGCATCTCTAATTAGCCCGGTAAGTACAAGCTCCATCAACCTTTCAAACGTTGCTGGAGCATTGCACAATCCAAACGGCATGACTTTAAATTGCCACAGACTCTTTCCTGTGGAGAATGCAGTTTTATCCTTGTCCTTAGGGTCAATTTCAACCTGCCAGTAGCCACTTTTCAGATCCAGCGTACTAAACCACTTTACGCCTGTAAGCATGTCCAGCGTGTCATCAATTCTTGGCAAGAGATAGCTGTCCTTCTTTGTAACGTCGTTCAGGCGGCGGTAGTCAACACAAAACCGCATGCTGCCGTCCTTCTTCTTTAGGTCGCAGGTACAGACTGGTACGCTTTTCGAACCAGCTTCTCCACCTCAAGGGCCCACTGCTGCAGGTTTTCGTTACTGCGTTGCACGCGATCTTTGAGCTGCGCACGAAATTTGTGTTCCAGGTGAGCATCGCCATATCTCGCCTCCAATGCCTCAAGGAGCTGCTCGTAAGTCACTTCCTTACCGAGAGCTTCCAGAACAGTTAATGCCTGGTCGCGTAGGCCTAGGGTGAGAGCAGTCATGGCCTGACTTTTATTCCAGCCGTTCGCTTTCATGACAGCCTCGAACTGGATTTTGTAGGCCGACCAGGAAGAACTCCCGTCGAACGGCGGCTCTTTGAATCCACGTAGCGAAGGTGTTGTAGCTACTACGGGAGCTGTAATTCCATCCCCAAGTTTGAGGTCGTCCAGCGTTTTCTTCACATCAGCCATCACGTTGTCAACCCGATTGTTCACTTGGTCGATTCGGGTTTCAGCTTCCGACAGGCGGTTGTCATGTTGAGCAACCCTATCCTTCACCTCCTTTATATCTTTCCCGAAGGTAGCGTGAAGGTCCTTCCTGAGGAGCATCTGTTCTTCCATACCGCGCTGCAGCTGCTATTCCAACCGAATGGGTCTGTTCCTCCTGTCGGCGGGCCTGTTCCTCCTGTCGGCGGGCCTGTTCCTCCTGTCGGCGAGCCTGATCCTGCAGCATCATCATCAGAGCACCTAAGTCAGGTGCTACAGATGCAGGAGCTGCTGACGGGCCAGCCTACGTGGTTAGCAGCTGGCCCTCCGACGTTTGCGGCGTTGCATTATCAAATCGTGTCTGGTCCGTCTCATGTTGGCGTTGACTTCGGGTACGGATACCCTCCGTGTCGTCTTTAGGTAAAATCGGCATATTTGATCCCACTTCTGACACCAATTGTTACTAGCTTGGGATTCGAGATAATTAATAACTGCCGAATGAATTACCAAAATTGACTATTTAATTACACAACACTAATTACAACTTAAAAATCACACTAATAATAAAACACAGTTCGCCGTTATTTCGCTTCGAAGTATTCTCTTGTATCGCCAATTCAATACTGCCCCGGTCGTGGTCTATACCGGCCTTATATAGGGCCTCAGATAGTTTCCAGAACCTTCTACTGTAGCGACATCTAGAATGTTCGAGTACATATCGGTCCCGAAATTTCTGGAAGGATCTCGACTCTCCTAGTTCTGCTATTCGACACTAGAGGGCGCTAGTGTAATTAGTGTTGCCATGTACAAGATATTAATAGTGGCGCGCAACAATATGTATAAAGATATTTATTATTTTTATTATTTACGGTAAATAGTAAATACTTACTGTAAATAATAAATACATATAAAAATATCTATACTGCGTTAAAGATAAAAATGTTTAAGTATGTATATAAACGGCTACACACACATCATCTACAAGAATCTATTTCCATAAAATAGACTGATCAAGAATAAAGTTACCATAGTGCTTTCTATTTCAATTTCCATAGCAACTTCTTCTGACGGTAAAGATAGGTTAGTAGGACCATGAATATCTATCATGGATGATAGATATTCACGTCAAGCTAAAAAATATGATTATTATTTTAAATTAAAATTTATCACCCAAATAAATAAGTAGGTACATGTTATAATATAAAATAATATTATTAAAAAAAATCCCCTCACTCCGCAAATTGTCACGCGTTATTACATAGTGATTGTGAAATCTTAAATCTCGATGATGAAATAAATGGCAACACCCAAGCGAAGCCTGGGCGTGCCACTAGCATTCAATAACAGATGTGCGTTTGTTCGCTATTTTTATTTATTTATTATTTATTGAATCCCTAAAACAAAAGAATACAAAGTGCGGACTTAATGCTTAATTCTCCGTAACTCCTTTAGTCGACTGCGAGCGGGAGAGAAGACTAGTTCTTTGTTTTGTAAACTGCGATCGTTGTTTTCGACAATCTAACACTGATTTTGTTTAATGTGACTAAGGATACGCTGTCATTATTTATGTGCGCAGATTGTCAACGTGATTTGAACTTTATTTCATATAAGTGTGTAACGTATTTGCCTAAAAGCAGTAACTGTCGTAAATGAAAATATAACCGCGTGCCATATTTACCGTGCCGGCTACCCGCCCGCGTGATCCACAGCTGTCACACGGTTTTTGTTCTGAATTGCCGCTCTAATAATAAACAAAGAAGTCTTTGACTTATATAGAATTTAACAAAAAGTTCAAACAATCGTGAGGATACATTTCACTTTACAACAACACCTAACTAAACAAAGCCTCTGCAAGAAAACTGCCTTACAGTACTTAAAATGCAAAGTTTTATTAATACAAGTCAAGGTAAAACTAATAAAAACAAAGTCCACACGTTAAAATAAATAACAAAATCATTTCCTTCATTAGCATAAGATAATCTATAAGATCAAAGTAGACCTAAGATTTAAAAAAAAAAAACAAAAGTAATGATGTAAATGTCTTTCACTTTAATTTATAGTTAGCTGCCACGGCAGGAGTTTAATGTTTCAGTTTCACTCCGAATTCAGTCTGGACATTTTACAGTGTGAATATGAAATGTATTAATAACTCGACTACAAAAGCCATCTTGTACAGAATAATAGATCGAGTAGAAAAACTTTTCCGCGCCTTGTATTGTGCTAATTGAAACTGCATTTATTCTGAAGAAGCTGATTCAAAAACCAAAAAAATTGAACTTTAAAATATGAAACAAATGGGAGGTTAGTGGAAACAGACCAGACCATGTTTTTTTTTATTTAATTGATTGCTAATGTTTTCCCTTTTTTCGTTTCGATGTTTATTGTGTTCTTGTTAGAGAGCCTATTAAAGTCAACTGCTGATGCTGAACATAGGCCTCATCCATAGATTGCCTCATAGGGGGGGATATTTGCCATAGTTGCCACGCTTGGCAAGCAGGTTGGCAACCCATTTTTTTTTTTCTTAGGAATATGGTGCTGCACGTATTCTGATTTGTTTCTTTCTGTCGCCTCTAAGACACACATGGGATGATAAGGGCTTGTGGATATTCTTATATCTATATACTATATCTAGGCCACGGAGGAAATAAACCAGGAGATGGGCAGCAGCGTCTTCCTAATGACAAATAAAACTAAAAAACCGCGGTTGCCTACCCACCTGCATGGCAACTATGGCAAATATCCCCCCATGAGTCAATCCGTGGGGGAGGCCTATGTTCAGCAGCGGACTTTTATAGGCTGTAACGGTAACGATAAATGTCGAAACGAATAAATGAAAACAAACTAGTATGATTTAAATAAAATTAAAAAAAAAAAACATGAAGTCTAGTCTGTTTCCACTAACCACTCGGTACATATTTCAAGGTTAGATTTCACTTGGTTGCTTCTTTGGTTTTTGAATTAGCTTCTTCACAATAAATGCAGTTTCAATTAGCACATATGACACCGAAAGGTTTTTCTACTCGTTCTACAGTTACATAAGGAACTCATGACAAATGGATTTTTATCCAGTATACTTTTATATTTATATACAACACGTTTACATAATATTGCACATATTTTACCAGATCTCTCACAAAAAAAGTTCTGCTCAAGTGTGTGTTTTCATATGCCTTTGCAAACTACTTTTCTCTATACATTTATATTCACAGATATGACACGAAAAAGGTTTTTCTCCAGTATGTATTTTCATATGCCTTTGCAAATTACTTTTCTCTATACATTTATATTCACAGATATTACATGAAAAAGACTTTTCTCGAGTATGTACTCTCATATGCTTTTGCAAATAACTTTTTTCTATACATTTATATTCACAGATATGACACGAAAAAGGTTTTTCTCCAGTATGTTTTTTCATATGCCTTTGCAAATTACTTTTTTCTATACATTTATATTTACAGATATTGCATGAAAAAGGTTTTTCTCCAGTATGTATTTTCATATGCTTTTGCAAATAACTTTTTTCTATACATTTATATTCACAGATATTACATGAAAAAGATTTTTCGCCAGTATGTATTTTCATATGTGATTGCAAACTACTTTTTTGAATACATTTATATTCACAGATATTACATGAAAAAGGTTTTTCTCCAGTATGTATTTTCATATGTGATTGCAAACTACTTTTTTGAATACATTTATATTCACAGATATTACATGAAAAAGGTTTTTCTCCAGTATGTATTTTCATATGTGTTTGCAAATTACTTTTTTGAATACATTGATATTTACAGATATTACATGAAAAAGGTTTTTCTCCAGTATGTATTTTCATATGTGATTGCAAACTACTTTTTTCTATACATTTATATTCACAGATATGACACGAAAAAGGTTTTTCTCCAGTATGTATTTTCATATGCCTTTGCAAATTACTTTTTTCTATACATTTATATTCACAGATATTACATGATAAAGGTTTTTCTCCAGTATGTATTTTCATATGCTTTTGCAAATTACTTTTTTCTATACATTTATATTCACAGATATTACATGAAAAAGGTTTTTCTCCAGTATGTATTTTCATATGCCTTTGCAAATCACTTTTTGTAATACATTTATATTCACAGATATTACATGAAAAAGGTTTTTCTCCAGTATGTATTTTCATATGCTTTTGCAAATTATGTTTTTTTATACTTTTATAATCACAATTATTACAACAGTACACTTGTTCAGCGACGTGCGCGTTAAGATGTGCCAAAATGCAAAGTTTTTGAGATGTTTTAAATTCGCAAATATCACAATTAAATATTTCCGTTAGTTGTGGTACTGGAGTTTGTTCAACTTGTGTCCGAACTGCAGTGGTGTTCTTTTGGTTCTTTTGCGTCTTATGACTGTATGAAATGTGTTTGGCGAGAATGTCTTTTGTTGAAAATTTTTTGCTACAACCATCACATTCAAAAATGTATTTTGTTGATGCCCCTGACGTTTTTTTCGTAAGTATATTTACACTCTTTTGTTTCAATATTTTCTTTTTCATAATCTTTGCAGGATGCTTTCCTTTTTTATTAATTGGTTGATTATCTTTTTTGACTTTAGGCTTTGATTTAATAGAAGGGCTTTCTAAATCGAGGTTTCCTTTACGAACATCGCTTATGTTACAATCAGTAGAATTTGATTTAATCTTGCTCTTAGACGCTTTTGAAAAATGATTTGTCGGTATGATGTATGGTTCTGAAATACACACGAATTGAACATTTAATTTATTATAAGTAAAACTTTTTATTGTAAGACACCTTAAACGCATTCTCTATCAGTCAACCAGGGAGAAAGAGATAAATTATAAAATTACATAATTATACAATGTTGCTAGATATAAAGTATTTTACTTTTAATAATGTCTCTCATATTCATTTTTGGAGGGAAAGAATGGTAGAGAAACTAAATTCGAATGATAATGATGACGTTCTTCTCACCATGTTATAATTACCTACATTAATCTAATAATAGATGCTTCGAATCGCACACGGGACAAGCATTATACAGAATGATTGGAAGATTGACTTGTTGATTGAAGATCATTTAGGACATAGTTATTTTAGACAAAGTCTGACTATACTTTTTGTTTTTGGTGATAAAACTAAAAATTTTACAGTTATTTGCTAATAATTGCCAATTTAATTAACGTCTGTTTTTGTTTCTAAATTTAAGTAATGAATAAGAAATCTAAGAAAACATAGTCTCAGCACCTGTGTCATCACTATACATATTTTTGTACAGAGACTAAGTTCACGAAAATTTTCTACGATTTAAAGAAACATAATTAACATTTTAAATAATAAACATTTTTGACACAATGTTAAAAAAAACTGATGGTACTTTAATTTATTCTTAGAACCTTTTTGAAAACATGCATTGAAAGAGTAACAACTCTTTCAATTGAGGTATAACTTACACGCATTTGTTACAAATTTTTCAATTGTCCCCTAAAACCAGATTGAGGTAGAAAATTTAAATTTTTAGGCAGACTAATAAAAATTCTAATTATTTATTTGTTGATGCTCAAAATAATTGATGCGATTACTAACACAAGCACGGGCCCGTCGTCTCACTTCTGTTGTAGTTACTTTCAACATCATGATTTCAAATGCTGAATAAATTCTTTGAAATTTGAAATTCCGGCCATATAGCTCGAAGAAATGACAATGAATGAGGAAGTTTTACGAGTGGCAGCCTCGTACCAGTAGACAAAGTGTAGGGCGGCCCTCCATTAGATGGAATGATGACCTGGTAAGAAATGCAGGAAGGCGATGGATTCCTGTGTTTTGTGGCATTCCGTGGGTGAGCCCTGAGCCGACCCATTCGTGCTATAACTATACTACTAATATAGCTGCAGCATGGCTCTACCACAACTAAAATGGAATGACCCACAGCCTGTGATTATTCTGACTCTATACCCATCAGAATGGATCACAGCAGTGCACGCACTGCTATTTGACGGCAGAAATAGGTAAGAGGAGGAGGGAGGAGTCCATCTGGGCAGGCGCAAATAGATCTACTCCAAACATGGAGTCACACCACCTAGTACTGACACTAAGAAGATGGCAAAGATAATTAGTTGCTTACCAGTATGTATCTTAGTGACATACATACTAGCTGACTGGGTAAAAATATGTTATTAATGTATTAATAAGAGTGCTTTTGACATGCACTTTGAATTTAGACAAAGGCAAATCAGTAAATCAGTACATTACACATGAAGCCCTCTTTATTTTGTGTCCACGGGCTACAGTAACCACTTGCCATAAGGTAAATTGTACCTTATTTTAATAATATCAAGAAAAGGGGTATATCTTACCTGTTTCATGATTCTCATTTTCTTCAAATTTGGAATTCTCATATTCGAAAATCTCTTCCTCAACTTTAACGGCATCAAGGCAAAAAATTTCGTCCTTGCAATCATTGTCTATATCACACTCTACAGGCCAGATATCTATATGATAAATTGGTGTGAATTTAATCTCACCTCTAACCTTATGCGGTTTTGGTATTGACTGAAAGGAAATAATTTTTTCAAATAAGAGAAAAAGCCACTATAGTGGTGGAGTAGGAGAACCCATACTACCCCCTGCCATCCCGCAGATGTCGTAAAAAGGGGCAGAGGGAAACTGAAACAGGAGATCGGGGGGCAGCATCTTCCTGACAACAACTTCAAATAACAATAAACACCGGACAAAAGTGAGGGTTCAGCATAAACTTAAATAAGAATGTACATAGTTCATCTATCCCGAGAATCGAGTCTCAACAACTTTTGGATTCAGATTCACGAAAGCTGTAAATTAACAAAGATTTATCTTTGTTTATTGAGATTTGTTTATATACAATAGGGTAATATATAACAGTATAAACAGTTTGATAATTGTTTTTGTAAAAATAAGTACTATTGCTCTAACAAAAGTTGAATTGTAGGACAAACTTAACTTTGCACTAGAAACATTCTCCCATGTAGCAATGGGAAGCAGCATAGAAAAGTGGATTGTGCAGTGACGGTGTAAGAATATCCACTATCACAGGGTCGGCAACCTTTTATATATATATATATATATGGTATTAATAGATAATCACTTATTATTTAAGTAAAAAATTAAAACAAACATTTATTTACATTGTAAGTTTTACAACACTAACTTATACTTCAAGTACAAACAATTGAGCAAACAAATTCAATGGGAATTTTGGCTTTGCATGGTTTTAGAAAGTTTGGATAAATTTGGCTCATAACTTGTTGTTATAAGTTTCAAACACGAATCTGAATTTTCATTTGTTAGTTGGCTTCTTACTTTACTTTTAATTATATTCATGCAAGAGAACGCTTGCTCGCACGAATATGTCGATCCGAAGATAGTCAGCACTCCAAATGCCAACTTCTTCACCTCACTATAGCAATCTGGAAGACTATTCCATGCGTCAAATATAACTCAACTCGCAGCCTTTCTTTTAAAGCTGTTCATTTTTGTTGCGTTACGTACATACATTTCTGGACCTCCAACTTTTTCAACTTCCTTATCAACTTTGTAAATTTTCAACTCCACAAAGCTTTACTTTTTAAATTGATCAATTGCATTTCTAGAGATCCAGTATCAACCCCAAATGGCTGAGTATGGATCGATTTATAATTTTTTTTTATAAAATAAATAATATTTGCGTATGAAACTAGAGTCGCAGCTTCACATCCAAAGAGCCGTATGTGGCTCGCGAGCCACAGGTTGCCGACCTCTGCACTATCCTATATACCTATCCACGGGATGGGTGTCGTAAGAGGCAACAGAAGAAAACAGAAACAGAGGTAGGGCGGCCGCATCTTCCTGATGACAACTTAGACTAATATAAACTACGGTTGCCAACTTGCCAAGTGTGGCAAATTTGGCAAAATCCCTCCTATGAAGCAATCTATGAGTGACACCTATGTTCAGCAGTGGACTTTTATAGGTTTTAATGGATGGAATGGATAATACCATGGATCCTCCTGAAAGCAACTGCTCCAGAACCACATTTGACTCAATAGCCTGTTGTTGTAATCTTCTGCAACGAATGAGTCTTGCATGACAGGTGAAACAGACAATTATTGGCCCCTCAGTCTCATCCAACTGAAAATATGAAAATCTTCATAAATATGAAATAGTATTCAAATACATAAGTGTATATAAGTTTGTAATAAAAATTATTGGCTACCATATTTTAATTTGTCAACATCATTTTTTATAATATTGAAGTGACAAATAAACTTACCATCTAGTAAGTGACTAATGGGCATCATGGGCACCTGCAACAAACTTCAAGCAATGGCTATAGATGCAATGTTACCTCTGAAGACTAAGGTGTAATGCATCACAGCCTGGCTCTCGATGTCCTTCAGACTGGGACACATACTGCTGCTTGGTGCCAGAAAATGGTAAGAGGATGATATCTAGGCAGAAAGAAACTCCTACAGTTCCAAGCCACCTACATCCATCAACTACATTACCTACATTAACTTCAAACTGCTACCATCACTAAGAACATTACAAATACTTCTCTTATCACTATAAGTGAACTGATAATGCTTGTGGTAGGAGGATATTGAAACAAAACACAGGGTGGTGGGTGGTACTACACATTCTGTGAAAGTGTAGTACCACCCCGCTCGAGCCGACCCATCCATGATACAACCATAATATAGCTGCAGTCCGGCTCTACCACATATAAAATAATGATAATAAGTCTTTCTACTCTATTCTCTCATTTTAATAGTCCGATAGAACTGTTTTAATTTACTGAACAACCAAACCAGGGTAAATGTTAATTTGTTGATAAAAAATCACAATAATAGTCATTCAAGTAATATGTACTAGAACAGACACCAGGAACAAAATCTATGCAGCAGTGCGGGTTGCATGGAAGGAATGGAAGGAGAATGTAGTACAATTAAGACCCAGATATTTGACACTTCACTAATCTACACGCTCAGCTTTGGAAAAATCTAGTAGACTGTAGACAAGCTAGGAGGCCCTGCCTGAAATAAACAGTTGTTTAACCAAAGTTCTAATGAGACTGAACAAGCCGCAGATCAGGATAGTACCAAATGCTATCACAGGACACGGCAACTTTAACAAGCATTTATTTACTATAGGTGTTACAGATAGTCCCCTGTGCAGGGCATGTCTGGGGGAAGAAGAAACGGCGGCCCATGTTATTGTAATGTCCAAAGGTCGCTATGTACAGGGCTAAACATCTCGGCACGCCAAGATCACTCCCCAAAGTTGCATGCAACATCTAAGGACTGTTGTGCTTCTTCGGGGAGATCTCATGGCTCTAATAAGCATATTATTCCTGCCCACACGCAAAATACACACATAGACGTGGAGTTGCAGAAATCAGCCTGTCGTAAACTATATTAAACTAAGACCCAGATACACTAGGGGCCATTTTGTCCCGCAAGATGATGTGGAACACTAAATCTACATGACGATGCTACATTGAACAGTG